GATGAATGGCCCCTCCCAGAGGAAATAAAAGAGGAGCGAAAGGGGAGTGGAGTTTGCGGGAGACATTTAGTTCGCTTAATTGGTGCATGACTCTCTGAAACTCCTTGCCAAGATTTGCAGATTTTTGCCTGGCAGTTCTCCAAGCCAAATAATGTCTGTGATTGTGAATCCTCCCTTGAAAGACTTTGCTGAGAATGAGCAGAATTCACAGTAAATTAATAAAAGGTTTTTTTTGTCAGGATTGTGTTTCATGTTCTTGGGAAGCCTCGGTCAGAAGAAGAGGAGGAGGAGGAAGGGGAGGAGGAGGAGAAGGAGAAGGAGGAAGAAGAAGAAGAGGAGGAGGAAGGGGGAGGAGGAAGAGGAAGAGGAGGAGGAGGAGGAAGGGGAGGAGGGGAAAGGGGAGGAAGAAGAAGAAGAGGAGGAGGAGGAGGAGGAGGAAGGGAAGAAGAAGAGGAGGAGGAAGAAGGGGAAGAAGAGGAGGAAGAAGAAGAGGAGGAAGAAGAAGAATATTCTGTGAACTGGTAGGGAGCCCTCTTAGCCCTCTTCCTGCCTATTAGACATTTCAACCTCTACTGTCTCATTGCCTGCTTGGAAGCCGTCCCTCCTCTCCTGGGATTCCAGGCTATGTTCCACTACAGTGACAGAAACTCTGATCCCAACTGTGGATGTAAGTCAAGGACTATCTGTAGTCCAATTTCAAAACTGTTGGCTGTGGAAGTAGTCTCTTAAGAGCCCTAAAGAAACTGTTTTCTCTCCCATGGAGGCCCAGTGAGCAGGCAAGAAAGAGAATGCAAGAGAGGTGAGAAGGCCACCCTACCTATCATCATTCGGTCCCATCAAAGGGTTCTGCCCAGAAAACCCAGGCAAGTTGATGTGGTCCTGGATCACCATGATGTCCCCCACTTTGAAGGCAGGATTGAGCCCTCCAGCCGCATTGGTGACAATCATGGTTTCAACGCCAAGCAGATGGAAGATCCGAACTGGGAAGGTCACCTGGGAAAGAGAAAACCAAGGAAATGTTCTGCAAGGGCATCATGGCATGGAAGGAGGGCCAGAAAACCAGAAGTCAGTCCCAGTTTTCTGACATGTTCTAAGCAGAGCAAGGCACCCATTTGTCCAAATTTGCCTGTGGTTGTCCATAGCCTCTTTCTTGCTCAGATGTGGCGCATGGGGCCAGCCTGGAAATAGCAATGGACTGAAGCAGTGTTTATCAAAAATGCAGTTTTCCCATGCCCCATTTTCAGCCTGGATGGCCTCCTGCAGCATTCTCCCAGCCAAAACGGGACCCGGGGGGCTCCATGCAGGGATCTCCACATCTCATTTTGCCTGGCAGGATGCTGCAGGAAGCTGTCAAGACTGAAAACAGAGCGCAAGGGGGCATGTGCAGGGGACCAAGGTGGCGCAGTGGTTAAATGCAGCACTGCAGGCTGACTGCTAGATCAGCAGTTCAGCGGTTCAAATCACACCGGCT